AACGGATATGCAACACCCACAGCAACAAAACAAAAAGGGAGTTAAGAGTACTAATACTTTTTTAGCAAATTGTGTGTCTATTTGTTACTATTATGGCCTTCAAATTATTGGATGCAATCCACAATTTATTTGTAGTGAGGCAGAACTAAGTTCTTAAACATTTTGCATCATGCGTAATTTTAGTTTACTTTACTATCTACTTATTACTTTTAACAATTAATATTAAGGACACTTTATCCATAAAACATATCCGTATCCATAAAAACAGGTTTAAAGAAACATGAAATTAACACACAATTACAAACATGATATCAACTGCACAATTTTGTTCTTCAAGGTAGCAACAGTATTGTAGGAGTCATGTCATGAGATGGTCTGCTTTTTCAGCTCACATTGAAATATGTTTTTTTATCATTGTGATGAGCTCAATCTTCTTCTGGGAAGTACCTTTTTCAAGATGTTACAAAAATATTTAATAAAATATTATGACAAGTCAAATGCTAACATCACCAGACAAACACTGAAGCATACAGTATGTCATTGTAAGCTTGGTTAATGTAACTTGCATCATCAGACATGAGCCAAGTGTTATTTTCAAATTGGATGTGAAGTGCCTCTAAGCATTTCCAGACATTGTCTTGAGCAGTTGAGTAATTAAAATAGGAATAGTAAACTGTAGCCAGATATCAATATTTACTTCTTTCAATTCAGGGTCATGAGCAAGCCGGGGCCTGTCTCGTCAAGCAATGGGCGCAAAGTCGGGGTACACCCTGGACGTGATGCCGGTCCATCACAGGGCACACTCACCATGGCACCAAGGAAACTGGAGCACCCTGACAAAACCCATGTGAACATGGGGTGTACGTACAAGAGCCAAACAATTAACACCCCACATCCAGAACTGACCCCGTGGTTCCAGCGCTACGTGGCAGCAATGCTACGATATAAATACTTAAAGGTGTGTCACAAAGGGAATCATATCAATCTCCTGGAATAAAGAAATTTACCATACTGTGCTTAAGGTACATAGGCCAAGTTATTTGAATAATTTTTAATAGTTATTAGTTGTTGTTTTTTTTAATTTTGGCCAACATATTGATATCAGTGTAGAATAATATTAGATTGCTTTAGCAGTTTTGGGATTTTTTCATTAATTAGACAAGTAGCTCTGAAAAAACTTCTTCCATCTCAAATGCTTTGTGCTCTCTACTCTCCTCCTCCTTCCATTTGTCATTCCAGTTGACCACATTTTGTATTTTCTGAGCTATTCATGGTTCTTAGGCCTAAGGGTACTGTATCTAAGTTTCCTAGGGGATATGAGTTCTTATCTCATGGTTCATATTGTAATGATCACATTTCAGACTTTCTAAACATATTAAGTTTAATACATTATTGCACTTCTTAGAGTATCAGCTTGTAAATTTGAATTGCGTTTTACATTTAATTTTGTGAACCAGCAGGAAATTAAAAACAAATGCTTTTACACTGTGGAAGTTGAGATGTATGATTAGATTTTCATTTATTTTAATGAACCTTACAGAGATCTTGAAATTTTAGTTTAATGTCGTACTGCATTGTAATTTTCATTATTAGCAAACTATGGCAGTTAAAACAATGCTTTGTACAAAACACTCTACATACAGTAATAGTTAAAACTCTCTATAAAGATTTAGAATCCAGAAGCTCTTGCAATATGCAATTTTCTTTCAAGTTTCCCAAAATAGAATACCTCTTGTTTTTTTACAAAGAAAATGTTGATGTTGTAGAACCTAGGCATATCGTAAATACTTTTAGATGTATGTGATTATAGATGTCTTAAAGTTAGAAATATGTATTCACACTCTTTATGCTAAATACTACAGTATGTATTGGCAAAAGCCTGTATGCAGTCATAATAGATATGAGTAGTATAAAACAGAATACAGTTAAACTGTAGTTGTGTAGTATTTACTTACATGCTGCCTACCTCCTGTAAATGTCTAATTGGTTTTCTGTAATATTATTTGCAGAATCTCATGTCTGAAATGCATTCCTTGTTTGTTAAATGATTGCCCTAAGTGGAGATTATATCAGCACAGTGGCTTAATTGTTCTTTTACATGAAACGTTCCATTAAAACTAAGCTGGAGAACAGATGCTTCCTAAATTCTTTGGCTGTATTTGATGAAAACAATATATTTCACAGCTGAATACCTAGTGTAGATCCTTGTTCTATGAATTGTTCCTTACTATTATGATGATGATGAGCAGCAGCAGAAACATTATCTAACATGAAGCTGCGAATCTGAGAATTTACTGTTTGTTCAAATAATTCGTGGTGTTCATTCCATGTTCCTATAACAGATCATTTTGTCTCATCAGCAGCTTGTAATAGAAAGGTAAGATATAAAATTCAGTCAATGTGGGTTTACCTTTGTTAAATTGGCCTATTCTCTGTTCAATGGCAAAAAGACTTAATCACATAGTTTCTTTCCTGTGGGGACTAGTGCCTGCAGAGAAAGAGTCTTAACACACGTTTTTGTGTAGTATCAGAACTGTGAGGAGATTTCTACCTTCTGCGTTTTTAACAATGAATTCCATCAGATCACTGGACGCTGATTTTGGTTAAACGGTAGAAAACATGACTGTGAGGAAAAAAATGCGAAAACTCTGCTGAGTTTTGAGGAGAATGTAAGCGGGCTTATTGAAAAATTTTAATTGTTTCAGATTTGGCTTTACTGAAGGTGCAGGAGGGGCACAAAATGCAGTTACAGTCATGAACACAATTGTCAGGAACACAAAAAGTTTCTAATTATTGAATGAATGCTTTATATATTATTACATCTTCAGATTGTTTCTATATACCAAAGGTCTACCTTTCTGTTATTATAGCAAACATAAACTATATTACAAGAGATCAAAAAACAAACTATGAGGTTCAGTAATGATACTATTGTAAATGATCATTCTTATTGTACCAATACTCATCCTGAAAGCTATGTTTATGTATACATAACTAATAGCTTTATTTATTAACTGTGAAACCCTCATTAAAAATAATGTAAGTCTGCTAATTGAATGGAATGTGTTTTTTTTACTTGTTCACAAATTCATGAAATTAAAAAAAATGATTCTGCACAATAACAGTGCTAAAGATCTTCAAAAGCTGAGAAATTATAATTAGACATTTGTACTCTTTTTAATAACTAATGTTTTGTTACAATAATTATAAAAAGCAATCCATCATTGCAGTGAAATGTGTTTGAAAATATTATACTTTTCACTTACTAGCAAACATACAAGTTTCAGATATTTCATTTTTATTTTATGGGTTTATTATTATATAATATATAATTATATAATAATCTAGACATGCTTCATCTTCAAAGGTTCAGTAGTAAGACAATCTTTCTGACTAGATCAAGTTGACATTTTAATACATTTTACACACAATTTCTCCACTGCATTTTGAGTGCTATGTGATTATTATTAGTGCAAAAAATACTTATTGAGTAACATATCTGTAAATGCAGTACCAAAACAGAAAACAAATTTATATAAAATACCAAAGCAGCAGTTTCTATCTGCAGGGTATGTTAATTGATCTTTTTTTGGACTCCAGGATGCTAAATAAATGTGGCGTTAAGCTTAAAATTAAACAAATTAGTTTTAAGATGGCACATTTTACATTTAGACATCATACTTTCTGTATGCATTGCATTATGGGCTGCTTTAGTGATTAATTCTTTAGATTCCTGCTTAGAATCCTATATGCTCCTGAATACTTAGTCCAAAAAATGCCTTCTAGCAATGTTGAGTATGAGAACATTTATTACTGTCTAACGATACATCAGTGGTCCTCAGCATTGCGTTCTGCCACAGAGAGTTACAGAGAGAAGAACTTTGTAGTAGGTTGATTCAAATTTCAAAGTTCTCTGTTGAAACTGGGCTGGCACATTCCTTTTTGTTCTTAAAGTTATTCCATCGGGTGGCTTTGTGCAGTTGTTGTAAGACAAACGTACAGGGTTATCAAATCTTCTTGATAGTGTATTTGTGCAGGTAATATTTTAAGCACACATAATTATCACTTTTATGTTATTAATTTCTCCTCATTCATCTTCTCAAAATGTGATTTTTTTTAATACATGAGAAAATGTCATAAACGGATGGTTTTTTTAAAAAGCATTCATTGTGTAGGTACAAACACTCTAAGGAAAACAATGGATTTTAAAATTGTCTGGAGCTAAATTTGGAAGCAATTACTGCAGTGGCAGCCGTGGTTGTTTTGAATTAAGAGTTTCAGTTATGATCAAGCAGGAACAACACGGGCCACTTGCAAAATATACTTTAACTAATGTAGTCCAGGGTTTTACTGCTTATAGATTCAAGCTGATGTGAGATAAACATGTAAGGAACCGAGTCCCAAGTATTTTCTGTGTGTATCTGAAATGCTCCTGTGTAACAAATGCTGTTTGTTTCTGGATAATTTAAGAAAACTGCAGCCATTTTCAGGGAGCTAAGGAAGATATTGACTCATTTTCTGGGGAAGCTGAAATTGACTTATTTACTGCACGCTTACACTGAAGACAGAATTCTTCCACATATTGCCAAGTGCGTTGTGCATTGTTAGAAACCATCTTCAGACATTTCTTCCAGTCCACATCTACCAACCTAAGCTTGTGGAAGAATGAATAATTGGGAATACATCTAAATTTCAGAAATAATCACATAGAACTGTTAACTACATACTAATTTGACATGCACCAAGCTATTAGATATTTATTTTGATTAAAAGATGCACTTTAACTTCCTGGTATCTCATGTGAAGTTCACAGTTACGTAAAAAATACCTTATTTTTTGCTTGTATGCATTCCTTTCTCTGATGTGTAGCAGTGTGAAGATCTCAAAGCAGATAGATGTTAAACAGGCTCCTTCTACACCTGAAACAAGAGGCCTCTCTCTTTTATTGTACTGTAGTTCTCAGCAAACAAACCTATTGAAAAAGTCCAAACCCTCTGGAATAATATTACATCCTGGATTTTATTCAATTCCATATGACAAAAAAATAGTAACCTAAGACTAAGACATCCATTTCAATCAGTAGATGTGTCAAGCCAACAAGGTATACTAATAAAAAATATTTTATCTAGGTATCAATTCCCAGCTGGTCCGAGGTGGCTGTCCAGCCCTCCATGGTATCACAGTATAAAAATAGTGTCTCTCTTCACCATGCAGAGAGGAAAAGCCAAGTCCCCGAATACAAAATGGGTTCAGTCTTTACTGCACCTCCAGCAACCATCCTATTTACAGTACTTTTACAGCTCTTTTAACTTAATATTCCAGAGGAGCAGAAATAACACTACATGGTACCAAATACTAATAGAATCAACAAAAATAAAAGCACGAGGGAAAAAAATGACAGATAAATAAAAAGAAACAACATTCATCTGCTGAACACACAGCAACATTGAGCCACCTTGATTAGTTTCCTTCTTAAGTTAGCAATCCTTCCCACACCTGGTGCTGATAAAAAAAGTAGAAGTACACAGGGATGACATGTAGCATCGCTGACAAGTCTGTTTCAAGTTGTTCTCTCCCAGTAAGAATATACAGCTGTTAAAAGTCTCCAACAGTTTTGTTCTCTTTTTATATATACTTTTTTAATTAAATTACACGATGGCTGAAGGGAGTTATCTCCTTACAATAAGAAGGTGGGATTTGTAAGAATGATTGTCCAGGACCAGTTCACTTTTTCTTTCAATGCCCACGGGGGAAAAGGGGGTCTTTCCTGTTTTCTTCATTTTTTCAAAAGGACAAGGGGGGTACAACTGCTCGGTAATGTTGCACAACATAATGATTCACTGGAACAGTTTGTGTTACACAGGAGGTTTTCACAATCTTCAAATCCCACCATGCCTTAATGCAAAAACAAATGAGGTAGTACACAAAACACACACTGTTAGTTCAAGTTTTACATATGCCCCACCCTCCCTAGCATCATAGCTCTGAGTGAAAACTGTCAATATGAGCGTGATTACTTTTTTTAATACAAGAACCACACTCAAGGTGATGTCCTGATGATCAAAGAGCACTGTGCTTTGCAGCAATCCGGGGTTAAAAAGCAGCAATGAGCAGAGGGTGATTTTTTAAAAAAAATTTAATTAATCCATATAATAACCATTGTTTTTCTGTGCATTTCCATCACAAGCAGCACCCACGTAATTGAAAAAAACATCCCTTTTTATGTCTAGCCTGCACAACACCCTCCTCCTAGACAGAAAGAGACAAATTTACAACAGACGTCAAACGTTGTTTGCAGAGGACAAAAAACGTCTTCTGATGAGGTGCGCGGTTGTCACGTTGTAACTGACAAGAAAGTCTGTTCATGAAGGATCGACTGACTCGATGAAACTGAATTTTGTTACAAAAGCACAAACTATGAAGTGATTAAAATAATGTTTGAGAGTTAAGGATAAACACAAATTGCAGACAAACCTTTTCTATTAAAAAGTGCAGACGAAACAGTTGGACTTTTAGGTTAAACTCTATATTTAATAAAAATACGCATACATTATACGCTTCTTTAAGATTTGTCTGTAATTTTTTTATTCTTCTTTAAGACAACAGTTGAACTCCAAAAAGGTTGTCTAGGAATAGTACAACTTTCAAAATAGCAGCTAAAGGTTTTTGAACTTCTATTACATGTACCATAAATGGCACACAATTCTCATGCTAGACTTCCAAACAAAACTTAACAATGATTTTGTTTTGTTAAGCTAAAATGACATTGTTTTTGCCTTTATTGAAAAAAAAAATCTATTTGTAGTCTGCAGTATAGAAAAAGGATCAATAAAACCATTGGGGTTATTAAATATAACTTCATTTACCCGCATTTCTTTCAATTTTATAAATACTAAAGACACTGGACATTTATATAAGACAATATTGGGGCACCTAAATGTAAAGATTAAAATATGTCAAACATTGTTCAAGTTTCTACTTCATGTGAAGAAAAAAATATTAGACAAGCACTAAAACAATGCAGTTTAATCTTACAAACTCAAGGCCCTTTGTTGTAGAGCACACAGTCACTGCAAAGTCACTAGATCATGGCTAGTCTCTTCGAATGCACACAAAGAACAAACTGGTGCATGTCTGTGTAACAGAATATATATGAGAGTTTCTCCTCTCCATTGTGAAAATCTTTAAGCATTTTAAATTTTTGTCCCCCTCGAAAAGTGTCAAACATACTGGTAGAAACCAAAGTTAAGTACCATGCAAATTTTGCAAGACAACTGAATCTCAAACAAGAAACAAAGTTTTCTTGGTGTGAGCGACATAGCAAGGAAACAAAAGCAAGGTAAGGTCGACCAGTTCTCTAACAAATACCAAACACTATAGTTCCCCCAAAAAAGGAATCTGTACATAATATAGTACATAAAGGTAAAGTTCGAACTGATCGCTCAGTTCCTTTTGCATTCAAGGCAAGTCTTTCAATTGATACCAATCTCTTTGTTATCTTCAATAAACCTAGAAAAGGGGCGATTCGCTCCAACATCCATGCTTGTCTTCTCCAGACCAGTCATGGGGGGGCTGCTGCCAGCATGGGCCCTGTCCATTCCACCTGACAAGTTGTTTAACGATGGAATACCACTTCCTCCCAAACTGACTGGTAGCTGGGGGATCCCTCCATTTTGTATGACCGAGATTTCATTGTTCTTCATGGCCAGCCCGTTAGTGATAGCTGCGGCGTACTGGTTCCAGAAACTGGGGTCGACGTTCATGGCCCGGGCGGCCAGATCCTTCTGAAACATCTCGGTGAACTTCATGGCATCGCCCCCAAGCAAGGCCATGGGGTTCTCCACGGACAGCCTGCGCCCCCGTCTGGCTGGAGCGTTGTTCCACATGTGGGTCCCCATGTGAACCTGGGACAGGAAAAAGAGAAGAACGGTGTTTATTGGACAGAAGATCAGGATGATCAAATTCTAATCTCTCTCTTTTGCTCTCATGAAGGCATAAAGGCTAACTGGGCTGCACCCGTTTCTCTACCCCCAACTGGTCTGCCGCGCAATTTTCTTCCTTGTTAGTGAGGGGGTATGGTTGGAAATTAGCACTATTATTTCCTCCTGGCATGTTAACACCAAAGTATTAAGGATACAATTGTTTTAGATTCGCCGGTTTGTTTTGTTATTATTAGAATTTGATCAAACAAGTGAAGAGAAGGATAAGTTCACAGCTCGACAATGACCTCACTTATTGAAATTAACCTGAAAAATTTTTGACACACACATGGCAGGAAGAAAATTGCCAGCTCCTAAAAGGACATTAAAAAACAACAAAAGCGTTTTTAGCTTTCAGATGGCCTCATCTTTACTTTCCTGAGAATCAAGACTGCAGTTTAGTTAGTCCTCCCTATGGAGAGGGCTCTCATACTAGAAGTTCCTGATAAAAATGTAATATTTATGTTTTAACTCTATATATGGGAGGAGTTAATTGAAATGTATTCATACTAAGTACTACTGAGAAACTGTTTGTGCCTTATTGGTTGAGTTTGGCAGCTTGATCTTATTCACCACATAATAATAATAATAATAATAATAATAATAAATTAGTATAATTCCTGTCATATAAAATTATCAGTAGACGTTTTGGTATCACAAGTGCAGATTTTAGATTTCTGAAGCAAAATAATTTCCAGGGCCTCAATTGTACCACATTTGTACGGACATTTTAAAACATCAAATCAAATCAAATGATGAACAACTTAAAATATATTTTTATGTTAATAGAAAAATAATGTGTTTTACAATCATTAAACTAACATGATAGAATTTTGCTCCATTTTGTTGTGTAATGGAAAAAGGTAATGATAAAGATACATGTAAAATACAAAATAAATTGGAGGTCATAATTTTTTTTTTTTAATAAACCTATTATAGGAGTATATTGTTTTAATATAGAGCATCATAATTTAGGTAATAACACTGCCTGAACCTTAAAACAATGAATACCCAATATCAATTATGTTTTATTTTGTACTTAAATACATTTTATTAAAATGTATACTTCTTAGATTTTTATACTTTGCCACTATCATCTGAAGATTCAACATCTTAGTGCACAAACTCAGCACATAAACATTTTGATTTTCACAAGAAACATTATGAGTGGTTGTGTTAGCAAAACTTTAGTATATAAAATGTATTTATAAATAGTAATAACAAAGTAATCCCAATATAAGTGTTCAAGTATAATAGATTAAATAGATAAGTGTAGATTATTTTAACTCTCACTCAAAGGCATCTACATGAGATTATTTTTCTTATTGGCTATTTAACCTTAACTCTTTAAAAATTTGAAATCACCATCGATTTCAACCATACTATTAAAAACATAAACAGATGTGTTTTAAGATCCTGTACCAGACTGAACCAATTTGTAAAAATGATTCAAATTTGAAATATGAAATATTTACCATAATAAAGTTAATATATTCTGACACTTCCAATACATATGCATACTGTGATTATTTTGACAATGAAATGGCTTGAAAGTCTTAATCTCGTTATGTCTATCTTTTCAAAGACAAAGAAAAACTTTTTTGATATTGTTTGTTTTACACACATTGTAGTTATCTTCAAAACTGAGAACAGCAAAACACTGTCAGGTAATTTTTTAAACAGGTCCATTGTTACCACTGAAAGTACATTTTAAAAGAATAAACAGTTACTGGTATGATATATGCTCTTAAAGGAAGTATACAGTTTAATATGGTCACAGAATTGTGTTTTTGCTTTATGTGAATTGGCCATTCTACAGTTTTTAGAATTTGGATGTTTTTCCTTTGATTTTCTTCTAAAAATCTTTGCCTCCCCCCACCCCAAAAAAAATGAAAATACCATGTATCTTTATGGAAATTCAGTAAATTAAATGTAGTAAAAATTAAAAGCTATAATTTATCAGATTATGCAAAATAAACCAGTTACTAGCATTAACAAAAAACACACAGACGTATTTACAGTTTAAGAGCTTTTAGCAAAACTAATGTGATATACCTAAACCCAGAAAACTACATTGCTGCTTTTCACAATCATAGATTTTACAAAAGAGATTCATTTGCAGAATTTGCTAAGCAGTAATTCGAATATCCTATCCTTCCATAGCAACCAAAGAAATGCAGATGAGACAAAATTGAAGGAACTGATTCTTGGCAAAATTCACTCCAGCTGTAATCCCATCTCTTCGATAGCACCATTTTAAAGTCTCACCTTGATAAGTAAAAATATGGCATCATCTACAATATTGAACATCCCAAGAATTGCATTTACTTTACATCAGACTAAACAGTGCAGCAATGAGAACTACACTTCACAAAACAAGAAACAAGTACCTTAAAATGAATATTTTAAATAAGGACTGTAACATTTATGTATATAGGTTAGAATTTTAAAAGAAGCACAAAATCTAGATGAAATTCAGCAGATGGTGAAAATCCTTAATTATTTTGTACATACCTATACAAGCACAATGGATCAGTTTATGGAAGCAGAATGGATTTCTGTTCAATGTCTTGAAAAGCCTCAAATATCTATATTTCATTTTTCAGGTTATGCAGAACATTGAGCTTTTACAGGTAAATATCCTTAGATTAAAACAGAAAATTGTTCTCTTTTTTCGTTCACTTATATATACTTTATATCACAGTTTACATGATGTTTGTAAATTGTATGAATGTAGCTATTTTATTTAATCTAACGGATTTGGTCATTCTGTAGTACTTCTTGTTGATAATATTTCACCTCTTGTAACAGTGGCCTGTTAGTACAATTTACTTGAAATTCACTAGGAAGTACACCCAAGAATTAAATTAATAAATTGATTTATTATGGAGTTTTTAGCAAAACTTTAGTTTAATCTGCTTGGCTGAGGGCTAACTTCCTGGCCATAAGACGAGGAGTCTAGGACCCCCATGCAGAGTGAGGAGTAACGAAGGGGCAGCTGCAGAAGTGGAAATGGGGTGGAGGTGAGATGCAAAAAGACGTATGTGAGGGAGAGAAGGGGATGACGTACAGTATTTATAGTTTTTGAAGAGGAAATGATGTAAGGAGTGATTTCAAATTATAGACTGCCAAGTCTAATTGAACTTGCCTGTTGTCTTCCTTCCCGAACATTCGTTACAAACTCCATTAAATCTAAATAAGAATCTGTTCCTGAACCCAACTTGTGTTCACTAGTTTCCTTAACAGTAAAACCAGTCTCAAAATTCAGTCATAATATTGTAGAAAAACAATAGTGTAAAAGATCAGAATGCTTCCACTCTGAATTGAATCATAAAAGTATACCCAAGAAAACCTGTGCTAAGGTTACTTGTTGGTGTGTTTTCATTTAAATATAATTTTTTTCTTAGTTACATTTGACCTGAAAGCTTTAATTCTACAGTTAATTATATTGTAAAATTATACTTCTTAAATATCTTCAATACTATACCAGTCTTAAAGCTGCAAGTTAAAAACACAACAATGCCATTTTAATTTGGAGGTTGTGCTTGGCTAGAAAAGGGTTTGTAAATTTGCTGTTATTAGAAAATGCTCCTGTCATCACATAAAGAACTTCTCTCCCAGTTAAGGAACGTTTAAGAATTTGCCTTTCATTCATAGGCACACAGGCAGTAAATTCCAGACTACAATGCCTCTTTTAAACAAAATACACATCGATCCAGTTCTAATTTATGACCAAGAGATTATTAATTCTTTGAAAGAACAGCTTCATACCTTGAGATTTCCTTTAGTGGTAAAAGCTCTACCACAGATTGTGCAACCAAAGGGTTTTTCACCCGTGTGGGTACGCTCATGGATCTGCAGGGCGCTGGCTGAGGAGAAGTTCTTCCCGCAGGAGTGGCAGTTGTGCTGCTTGGGGGTCCGGCGTGGGGGAGGCGGTGCCAGCATGGGGTTGATCCCAGGACTCATCGCCGTCTGAGGCGCTGCAGGGACCTGGATACCAACCGGAAGGTGTGGGCCCTCACTTATGGAGATCGGCTTGCTGTGCCCGTTCACTTCAATTTTGATCATGCTGGGCGCTGTGCTGGTAACCAGGCTAGGGGTACTTTGGCTTGGACCTAGAGTAGAGTTGGTTCAAATATCTCAGAAGGTAGTTCTTTCAATTTGTGTGTCATTAAGTGTTGCTTTAAATTACCCACAGTGCAACACCCCCGCTTGTAGACCGTGCAAACAGCAGGGCACACTTTAGTATGGCTGCGGTAGTGAATCTCCAATGCACTCTTACAGGTAAAAGGTTTGCCACAGATATTACAAACAGTGCTTTTAAACTTACCGCGTTCTCTGCTCAGGAACAGCATGCTAAATGGAGTCTCCTCTTTGATGATGGGCCTGCCAGGTTGGGTGGCGGTCAGATCCAATGCCCCTCCATTCTCAGGTGCGGGTGATGGAGTATCTGATTTTTCCGACTTCACCGTTGCTACTACCTCATGCAGCTCTTCTGGATTGTTGATGCCTGGGGACTTGGAGCGATGGCTTTCTGTGTTGCTGTGAGCAGGGGACAGGGCTTGCATGGAGTTGGATGATTCAGACATTGCTGGGCTCCCTGCACTCTGGCTCTCGAGGTCTCCTATAGCTGATGAAGAGTCATTAGTCAGGTGATCGCTCTCTGCGCACCCATTCTCAACCGGCTTCAGTCCAAAGGAATGGTGCATGCTTAAGGAGGAGTCAATCATTTTCATTTGGTTTTCCAGTGCGGCGATGCTGGAAATCACAGATGGAGGTGAGTTAGGGGACAAGCCAGAGTAAGAGATCAATGGTTTGGAAGGGTCAATCTCTCCTTCCTTGAGTTCTCCTTCTTCTTCCATGGAGTTTTCATCCATAAGATCATCATCATAGCTGCTCATGGCATCAATGCTCTTTTCGTCAAACGAGAGGTCAGTGTCCATGCTGTCCTGGAAGCCCTCGGGCAAAGGTGTGTTTGGGATCTGCCCCCCCATGTGCATACGGATGTGCTGCTGCAGGACAACAGCGTTGGTGAATTTCTTCTGGCAGATGGGACACGAGTGCTGCACCCGAAGAGGAGGCTTGGCTCTGTGGACTCCAAAGTGTGTCTTCAGGTTGCCTTTTGTGGTGAATGCCCTGCCACAGATCTTGCATTTGAAGGGCCTCTCTCCTGTGTGTATACGGTAGTGCATCTTCAAAGCACTCTGACAGCTGAGCACTCGGTGACAAATGACACACTGGTTGGGGTCCGTCATTTTTTTGTCAATATTCTCCACCAGTTGCTGCAGCTTAGAAGTCTCTGAAGTTTGCATAGAGTCTAGCAGGCCGCCAAATGGAAACTTTGCTTTGAACTGATCTGAAATCATTGGAAGTAGGGGGTTGGAGACAGTGGAGGTGGGTGTGCCAGGCTCCATGACCAGTGCTGTGGTAGCAGCGGTTGTAGTAGTGATGGAAGCTGAAGAGATGGATTGACTCACAGTGGTGGAGCTGTCACCTGGTCTTATAGAACAGTTTGGGGGCAGGTGAATCCCCTCTGGTTTCAAGACAGGTGGTGCGTCACTGCCAATGTTGGGCTGGGGAGACTCTGAAGACACTGGAACACTGGCTTCGCTATTGTTAAGATTGGGAGATAAAGATGCACATTCACTGGAAGCAGGAGAGGGCCTTTGTGGTGACCTGCTTAAGGGAGTAATACTTGGAGAATCACTGTAAGTGCCCATACTAGGGAGTGTAGGGGGAAGCTGGAGCCCAACAGAAGTGGACACTGTCGGTAACACAGGCTTGCTGTCGAGCCACGTTGTCACTGGCTTTTCAGGAGGAAGAGACATCCCATAAGGGATGCCCGAGCTTGTGGGTACATTATCGAGGTATTCTGGGACTGGATAAGGGTTCATTTGGATGTGAGGGTACTTTTCCTTATGCCTCTGGAAGTGAACCTTCAAATTTCCTTTTGTTGAAAAGCGGTTTCCACAGATGTTACATTTGAAGGGCCTCTCTCCAGTATGAGAGCGTAGATGAATCTGCAGAGCACTGTCACTCCCAAAGACTTTAGCACAGAACCTGCACTTATGCTTAAAAAAAGGGTCTTCTGAGCTGGGCTTTGTGTCAAACACTGACACGTTGGGCGGCTTCCCCTTGCGGTGCTTCATTAGGGCAGAGAGCGGATCCAGGGCATTTGCGGTTGCTGCAATGCTTACGAGGGGGTTGGGAAAGATGACACTACTTGAAGAGCTTTGAGGTAGTAGTGGCAGGTTTGAAGACGGACTAAGGAGGCTTGTGTGTCCTACTGATGTAGAGGCTGAAGTGTTTTGCGGCTGGGTGCAGCTGTTACTCGTGTTAGCAATAGTGCAGTGAGGCATTAAAGATGACACCACATTGCAGCTTGATGTGGGAAGGCTGGACTCAGCTGGGACAGGAGCGGTGCTGGGTATTCCTGGATTGGCTGGCCCACAGACAGGCTGTGAAACGTGTTGTTGAGGTCCCTCCAATGTAGATGGCAGCGAGCTCGAGGCTTGTCCATTTACGGCAGAAGGTACCGCGGCTGGTAGCTGATGAACCTGCGGTGCAATGAATCCCTGGAGCTGGAGCTGGTTGGTGGCTGCACCCGAAGGTGGGCCCTGGGAAGCTGCAGCTGGGTTCAGAGCTGGCTGCATGGGTTGTCGATTCATCATGGCCACCTGACTGCGGATCTGCTCGATCAGCTGCAGCTGGTGAATCTGCTGCTGCTGAAGGGCCATCAGCTGGTCCAGGATCATTGGGATAGCCATAGTGGTCATTCCAGGGCTGGTGCCAGTTCGGGAGTTTTGCGAGAACTGTGCCACTGCTACCCTCGTGCTGTGTAAAGTCTCTAAAGTTACGTTAGTGTTTGGCATGTTATAGTTTGTCATGGAAGATTGATTGGGGATCTGAGGTAGAGAAACGGTGGGATCTGATGCAGCTGGCTCGGGTTCAACTGCTTTATCGGGAGATTGTTCTACCTCCATGGGCTCGTCCTCCTTCTCCGTGCCTGTCTTTGCTACCTCTGAGCTCTCATTGCCTTCTATCGGCACGCTGCTCTCCTCAGCGTCCTCACTTTCAGCTGGGTCACTGGGGCAGCTGGGGGCTGGTGAAGGTTCAGTGGGGTATTCTTGGGTATCAGGTGCTGTTTCGTCCTCATTCACGATAAGCACCAGAGGGTTCTTGGTGCAGTTCTTCTGGTGCTCCAGGAAGTCTGTCCACTTGAAAAATTCAGCGCAGCACTTTTCACAGACGTGAGTCTCTTCGCTGCCACTTCGGCTTTCATTCCCGCTGTCAGCATCATCCACTCCTTCTCCTGGAGCTACAGGAAAATCAAGAGGAATGTCATCAGACAATGAATGAAATCCACACACACAATGTCCCCTCTGATTTATACTCTGAAGTTGTTTTGGCACATCACTAAAATCAATATTTTTTTAACTCTGTACAAATTGCCCTATTTCAAGAATTCTCAGGACCTAGTTTGTGTATGCTATCATTCTCCCCATACCAAGCTAATAATTTTCTTTGCACAATCCATCAAATTATGAGGGCCTACCAATTGTGGATACTGCTTCTTAATGAAATTCCATAGAAGCTATTGATTTCCAATATTTTCATACAATTCACAGCTGCCTTGTCTGTTGGGTACAAATCAAGTCTTTGATGGACTCATTAGGATTCCCCTTCACTATCAAGTTTCCTCATTTCCACTAGAATTTGAAATGCCTTTGCCAGTTCACTTAACATTGCTAAACTATATGTAACCCTGTGTGTCTTAAACCAATGCTTGATTAGATAAACTTGCCATTGGTAACTTAATTCAGTTTGAGAACTTGACGGTATGATTGTCCTTCAGAAAATGCGTAGACAGGGTTTGCATAAGGTTTTCTGTTTATTGTGTTGGCCTCTATTTTAAACAGAAGTGATCTAGCATCACTATTTATTTAAAGAAAGTTCTAGAATACAGTTATGTAATTGAATAATACAGAACTTACAAAAAATTAAATAATCTGTTTATAAATACAATTTGCATAATAGACCATTTTATAAGGCAAGCAAGATGTCAGTCTTTAGGTAGATCCTGCTTTTAACTTAACATTCAGTATAAAAATACAGTTATTTTAATTTCTTCTTCCTCATCACTTAGGTTTTCTCTTTAAACCAGTAGCATTCAGTTAGACTTATTTTATACCTATTTTCTTCTTTTTTTCTTTCAAAAAGGACTCAACAAATTACATGCTAGTGCCATAGCAGAAAACCCACTAATTGGTTACACATGTTTAATTACTGTTGTAGGCAGTCACTTCCTCTGACTAGTGTTACCATCATGTGCCAAATAACAAGCATGTTTAATGAACAGAATTCTAATTCACACCTGATCAAATATGCAGCTGCAAAGGAATGAGACAACCAGCTACAGTAACATTTACTTTTCATAAATTCTTATAAATGTGAGGCAGGATGGAATGATTCAGTAATTATTCCACAGCTCATGCCTGCTACTTTGAACATGGCAAGCTACATCACTGAGTTATTTCAACTGTTATGTGATACCAAAGATGAGTAGCATCAACCCATTTAGTCACACTGACAAGAAAACTTCTGCTTAGGCAACTGAGGTCAATATAGATTTACAGGTTGAGAGAAAGATGTACAGATAGATACAGGCAGACAGATAGCCCGGACAAATTAAATTGTATAATACATGGAAGGGATTGATATCTTGTCAACTTAATAGCTTCAGTAAAAGAAAAAGTATACTTATATTCTACATACAGTACATACAACTACCAATATGAATGATAATACAGATTACAATCATAAGCGTATTGAGACAGAAATGTTGAGAAAGCTACCTTCGATAGTATCATTAATGAGTTTTTTCTTGATGGAATTCTGTAAACTACCAGTATCTTTACAGTCTTGAAAAATGTTTTGCTAGTTCTAAAACTGTTATGGGTAAAACTCTTCCCCTATTCGCATCCTTTAAGAACTACTTCTTTTCATAATGATGAATGATGACATTTCACTTAAGCTATTTAGTAATATAAAAATGAAAAATATCTATTAAGAAACATGTAGGGGTTAATTCCACACTGAAAAATGGGGGGGGGGATCAACTGTGAAGCCTTTTCAGGTGCATATATATGTCTGTGAAAGACCTGCATAAACATATTTTAACAATATTTGAAAGAAAACAATGTAAAATATACAATGAATATAGAAAAAGGTAAGCATTGCGTTCCCAATTAGAATATATCATGTAAAAAAATCATCTATATGAAAATTAACAATATGACAGTACATATTAGAAATCTGCAACTTGAACAAAAAAACAAACTGTTTTACAAAGAACAGCATTTTCTTTCCAGAGGCAAGATTTGGAAGAAAATAAAATCCCTTCTGTTTTTTTTTCTTGGCCCACTAATGTCATCTCCTTACAGAGTTTCTGCACAGTGTGTGGGCTTTGTAATTCTTCTACATTAAAGATGGGGATAACAGCTCAAAGGAAAAGTTCGGCCTATTCTTGTTGCTCCATTGTCATTTGCAGATAAGGCTAGAAGACACATTTCATTGCTGTGGCTCAGTCTTCTTAAATGATTCATTAGTACTGGAATTCATCAGCCCTGTTGTAATTTCTCGCCAAAGGGTCATGTCTGCCACCAGGGTCCAGTTTCTTTAACACAATTAATAATCAGCAAAAGGATTTGGAAGAACCAAGCTAATTTCAGCCGCTTCCCTCTCAAACACCGTGGGCAAAATTCAGCCCAGTATCTAAAATTTTATTATTTTGCTGTGTAATATGAAAGTAAGTGGATTAAAGAGAGAAAGAAAACAGAATCGTGTAAAAGAAGACATCAGCCTGGTAAAAACAAAACAATTGCTCAAATCCTAAACTTGTCTTGTGCTTTCACACTTTACATCCAATTATCCCAGAACAGATTGCTTTGCTTTCCTGCTGAATCCACAGCTTCACATGTAATTTATATTTCTAGAACATCCACAGCAAACAAAGCCAAACAGCGTATTGAAAATAGCACAACACCCGCGCATAAACACAATCTCCTTAAGTGATCAACAGACAGAACTGCAAATTTACATAATTGAGGGTTGAAAGGTCAGGGAAAATTAGTAGGAATGGTTAGGGGTAGATTAATTATTAACGCACACATTTCTTTCCGGCATATTTTTTTTTCTTTGCGTGACTGTGTCAAAACAGTAGAAGTCATGCTGGGGTGCTTGAGTTTCTGTGGTGTCATTACACAACATAATAATCCTCCCCGCAAAATCCCTGATCTTCTGTCACCATATCTGTGGAATAAAAATGACTGAAGACTTTCCAAAATTGTCTTTAAAAATTATTTTAGAATAAATACATTCTGAAAAATGTATTAATGTGGGTAATGTGGTTGTCTTAAAATACATAGCAGTGACACAATTTATATTTGTTGTGATTAAAAGTAATATATCTTTCATATCTCTATAATATACTATTATAATCCACATATGTATCCTATCTAGAGGCTGTACTGTGAAATTACCTTTTACTGAGAAAATAGATAGATTTTATTTGTAGGTTCCTTTGCCTCTTTTCAGGAGGTTCCCTATTTTCATGAGAGAGCCACAAGATTCTGTTATTTTCTGTGATTAGCCTTGCTAGGTTTTTGAATCTCTAAGTTAAGCAAAACTAAAAATGAAAGTTGTGTTGATTGCAAAGTCTCATAAAATATTGCAATATTCTGAAAATAAATGCTGCTAGCAAACTGAAATGACAAAAGTTTGAAAAATATTGTTTTTCATTTTGAAAGTGCAGGTAACGTATTAATGCATTTTAAAAGCATGTCTTACTATTCATATAAATACAAATTATCACACAATCTTTTTATTATTATTTAGATTAATTTATTATATCTAATATTATAATTCCCAATGTTTAAAAACAAATTATATTCATAAGTAAAGAGGATTAACACACAGGTGTCTTATCAGCAACAAAAAATGATATTTTAAACATGTAATTTTATTATTACTGATCATCTCTTTGTTCAGATTGTTCTCTTTTTAAAATATATATATATATTCATCCTTAGAAGGTTACCACCAAATCTCAGTTTCCTTTTACAAAAACTATGGTTTCACCAGTACTTTTTCTCCGGTTTAGATTTTAAAACATTTCACTGAAAGATAAAGAAAGGAAAATATTTTTTTTTCAAAAGAGATTCACACAATATAGATCTTGCATTCCGATTATAAATGGCTTGGTCTATGGTGACGAAAATCCACAGACAAAAAGCTGTCAATAAAATAGTTCTTAATAAATTGAAAGAAAAAAAAGCGCTTTCTTTTAATGGGGTATTTTACTTTCTCAGGAGATTATAGAGGGAGTGAGGTACAAAGGTTGGGTTAACTGGAGCAGCAAGGGCACTTTTTACAAAGCGATTTGCAAGCCGAATTAGAGCATTTTTTTCTCATTATCAGTGTAATGTCGTTGTGTTATTTTCTACATCACCGTTTGTCATAAAAGGCTCACCAAATGCACATAAAAATAAAGACTATAGCAGTTTTATCCATATTGCCAAAGTATAGTGTTGTTTTTCCCTTCAATTATTACTTATGCTTATTGTTTAAACTAAAGAATAATAAACAGTTTCTTTCAAATTTTATTTTGCAACCATTGCATAATGCAGCAATTCTTGAGCATTGTTAAGGATCTTCAGTGATTAATATAAATTATGAGAAAAGTATAATTCAAAAACCTGTGTGTGTTCTTTTTTTAAAACTAAATGGATTGTTATTATACATCTTCAGAACAAAATGAAGCAGCTTGTTGATGGGGTATCTAAACACAGATATAAAACTTATAAAATGTAAAGGAATAACAAAAAACATTATCCACCATCTGTGAAAAAACAACGTTCACAAGTCTTATACAAGTCTAAAATATCAACATAATACACTGAACTGAAGTATCCTTGCAGAATTTCTGAATACAGATTAGCAAAACAATGTATTAAGAAGAACCCAAAAACTCTGGTTTTCAAATTAATTTACAAATAAACAACTGCTTCTCAATTTGGTTTTAAAGTTCCTTGATTTGTGAAATTACAGACAGAAAAAATAAACAAAAAATATTTTTTCTTTAAATATAAACTTCCCTTGGTTTTTACATTTTAACCTTTGAAAATTATTTTTCTAGTGTGAAAAAACTGTTTTATAGATTCTTTTAAAATTCTCTTTGAACAAAAATAAAAATACTATAGAAGAGAGAATTTCAAGACTTTGTTGTGCTCAACAGGACGAGCGCTTTGATGTCATAAG